ACGCATCAACCACGCACACTTGTTTGTTGCTCGAATCATCGCTTATGTTCGAACGGTATAACAGCGGGGTCGTTTGTTTCTAATTGGAATCCCTCCCGGTTTCTCAATTCCCAAGTAGTATAGAGGGGATTAATCAAATACTGTTTCGCAGAGAGAGAAGTATTTCCCGTTTTTACAACCCCCAGCTTTAATTCCGAAGCGAGCTTGCGAGCTTCGGAATTAAAGCTGGGGGTTGTAAAAACGGGAAATACTTCTCCCTCTGCGAAACGGTATTTGATTAATCCCCTCTATACTACTTAAATCAAAATTTGGTTTTCAAATTTCAAATCGTAACTCCATGTAATTCTGACTGAATATTTCTAATTACTTTTGTACCTCTGCAAGCTGTAAAGTTCTTGGAATCTTCTCCTACAGTGGATGTTCCCTCGGGGCATTTGTAGCACTCAAAGCGTCCCTCTTCGCTCTGGTAGCTTCCAGGTGAGCACTTGATACATTCTTCATGTAATAAATCATAGTACGTTCCTTTTGGACAGCGGACTAGCAAAAAGGAAAAAAACAACTCTTTGTTTGTAGTGCGTTTGTAATGGAATCATTTTTTTACGTATAAAATGTTCCATAAGATTTTCTTAGTTTAAATGAGCTAACATCTGTATCTTAGCTATCAAAAGTAGTTCAAAATGTTTTCTTATCACTTCCCCCAGATGAAGGCTAAAGTTTTAAGCGAAACGTATGGATTTTAAATATTTATTTTTTTTCGTTCTTTTTTAACCTTGGTAACCTTATATTTGTTACATTGTTGAACACCAGAGAGCCCTAGTTGCTTCACAAGTGCTTGAATTGTAAACACATTTCTTCACTAACACTCACGCAGGATCTGCAGCTCAAACATATAATGTATGTACTTAATTCACAACTTAATGAATTGAAATGTTGAGCGCGAATTTCTATTTTGTCCTCACATAGGGCAGGCATATAATTTAGAGAGAGCTAGTGGACATACCTCTTACTAACCGAGTTCGAAGTCCGTACTGTAAGTTACGGACCGAGTTTTTTCCCAAGCGCGAAGCGAGCGGGCCATAAATCGAAGGGAAAAAACGACGATCCGCATTTTCATCGACGATTAATCAACGGAAGTTTATCTCTGTTTACTTTTAAATGGCAAGGAAAGTCACTGTAGGTAAATACGATTGAGTGTTTTGAAATTGTGAGAGTTTGTTTGTTTGTTGGCAGCTCGGCGCTGTAATGGCGCGTAATCCTGTGTTTTTCTCGCCGCACAATTTTAAGCAAAAAAAAAAAAGTCAATTGCAGTCGAGTTTACCTCTCTGATCCTTGCTGTATTTAAGAGAATTTCTGTGGAATACACTTAACGAATTTCTTCGCTTTCACCTACTCAATTTACAGTAAAAAAAGACGGATTTCAAGTGATTCGCAACGACTTGCTTAGGGTCGGTCCGTATAGCGAAAAACTGTGACATAGGGGTTGAAAATGTTACCCTCGGCCTGCGGCCTCGAGCAGCATTTACGTGCATTTTCAATACCTCGGTCACAGTTTTTCACTATACGGACCTCCCAACCGGCAGATAACATACATCTAACTTTACTGAAGTACAAGTTAGTTTGATCTACTTACTGCACTTTTCAATTGCTCCTGAGTCCTTGTTACATTGACACAAACTGTGTGGCTTGGTGAGTCCATCACAGCCAGTCTCAAGTGAGTCACACTTGCCCACAACAGCTCCAGCGTCCGAGCAGTACGCCTCAGCGTCTGTGATAGAGAAAGTCTGATATTCAAGATCAGTTGACGATCTTAATGGACTCCAATCAAACGACTTTGCCTGTTGATCCAACAGGGGCTTAGCGTCATTGTCCAGGATTTGTTCCAGCTGTGATAACGTTTGTGAACCAGCACTTGCTTTCTCCTGCGCTACAATATCGACCCTGACGTACACCTCACGAACGGATCGTCGTCGACGACGTTTAGACGAGGTAGTAGCTCCGCAGAAGACATTAACATTATCAACAGTACAGTCGGCAGGGTGATCTCTGCAGAGACTCGATGGAACAAACATTTGGCTGAGTAAATTGACGAAATTCAGTTTGATCTGGTCTTGTGCCTCTTGGCTGTTGCAGTCGCCAGAGTAATAGAAGAACTCTGGAACTAAAGCCATGCGAGCTTTGCCAGGTGTGTAACGCACTAGAGGAGAGTTTGAAAAACAGTTAAATTAGTGTAGAAGTAGCAATTTTTTAATTGAGCTTGCGTGTAGTAATTTTTGTTTTTACTCTAGCAAAACACTCTAATTACTAACTCTGGGGTGAAAGAGAAGCCTGTTTTTGTTGTTGTTGTTGTTGCTGCTGCTGCTGTTGTTGTTGTTGTTGTTGTTACAGTTCTTATAGCTGTTTCGGCAAACTCGCTCAAGTATTTTTATCAAGTAGTTTGCTATTTGTTTTTTTTCTGTGAGGTGACGTCATTAACGTGTCCAAACGTTTATTACGTGGAGGGTTTAGTATGCAAATCATCCTTTAAGTTCTATATTCATTTTATGGTGAGCAGTACATTGTAAACCGCACATTCAGGTTTTCCGTAAAACTGGCCTTAAAACATACTGTAATCGACAAACGCGAATTTACAATGCGCCATTATTCCTCTAGTGTACAAGACATCGCCGGTTTGCCGCGATGGGCCAAGATGTATGGGTTATTGACCAAGTGTGAGGTCAAGATGGCGGGATATTGGCCAAGTTCTTTTTTTGCGTGTTTATGGACCGAGACGGAGTCGAGGTTNNNAAATTTCTTGCGGGACACGGCGGGTAGTCCCGAGCGGGCAAGATAGCTCCATCTTGCCCGCTCGGGTAGCCAATCACAGCGCAGGATTTGATCCATCTTGCCCGCTCACGGAGCTAGCCATATAATAAGGCAGGATAATGTTAGAATAGTGACACAGAAAGACTATTTCTTTCTCTTTCTTCTCCCCTTCTTCATCCCTTTTTAACTGGTAACAACTTATTGTGTTACTCACCGGAGCAGTCTGGCCATGGCACAGGAGACGGTGGTATTGTCGTCCACTTTCCGTTTCCACAAAGATAGTTGAGAGCAGGTGGAAATGCAAAGTCGAATTGTTCGTTACAGCTGACTTGACAGTATCGATTACTAACACCCCACGCGTTACAGGCTAAGGCGCCATTTATTGGAGCTGGGTATATCTCACAAGATTTGGCTGAAAATCATCAATATTACAACATTTAAATCGTTTTTTAAAAAATATACTTATATGTTTTGGGAAATTTCCACCGAATTAGGTAAGACAGAGAAATCTTTTAATCTGTAGAGCTAAACTTACAAATGCTGTCGATTCCCAAAAAATAAAAAGCTGAGACACAACTTCGTCTTTTTGTACTTTAAATAGCAAGACTAAACAAAAGTAGTGCCTTTTTTGGTAGAAAATACTTGATGTTTATTTTCATGTGATTTAGTTTTACCCGCATCATGAAATTTGCCATGATTTTGTTAATGCAGATTTGCTAACCAAAGGTAGAAGACATCTGAAGTAGTTAATATCCCAAAGTAATGGTAGAAATGGCTGCTAAACAGAAAGCAATGAACCTCGTTACTTTGGTTTAAACTGTATGGCTACCTGCCAAGGCCTACACCAGACCACTAAACCAGCCTTATGGAGAAAGTTATTTGAAGAGATTCAAGCTAAACACCAAATAGAATTGCGGAAATAAGCATCAACTCTTTTACCTTTCACGTGCACTTTGAAGGCACAACTGTCATTAAAATTACCAGACTGGTCTCTAGCCACATAAAAGACAAAAACCTCTCCAATATAGAAATGTGCTCCAGGATTCTTGTTGTTTTCAACAAGTGGTGTTCTATTAGAATTGTCCAGGAATTCAGGGATGACCCACTGCACTCGTTCCGACTGTCCAGTTGTTATAACCAACTTGTCTTCAGGGCATGATGTAAAGTACGGCGCTTCATTATCTGTTGAGTAAATGCAATGTTCTAGGAAGACATCGCGGCTTAGCACGGATATTACCTTGTTATTTTACAATTAGATTACGAGCTTGAGATTTCGATGAGGTGACAGCGTCAAGCGTGTAATCTTCGGAGGCAGCCATCAATATCTTTTATATGTATGTCTTAGTTTTCCTCTAGTATAACCTCTGTCAGTATATTCTTTAAAAACCGTCCTCTAATGTCTCAGTCCAAGACTTCACAGAATATGCTACAATACGAATGTTACGCAGCCAATCAAATTACAGGATTTGGATTAGAACACAAGTTTGTTACTGCATTGCAGTTATTTGGTTATGGGTGTTAACACATAGATCAATTTAATTAAAGACTCGGATACGAAATATTTCGAGGTGAATCAGTAACCTACTCTAAAGGAGTGGGGATGAACTGATGTTTGCCATCAAGAAGATCATCCTTTACTGCGTCACATTGTTCTGGACCTTGTTGTGTTCGACTATATAGTTGTGTTGCTTTACTTTGTCGTCATCTTGATGGATAGTTCTCAGGTCTTTTGCCGTGCTTAGTTCTTGCACTTTTCACAACAGGTACAACATAACCGTATGCATGATCACGTGAGAAAAGATTACCATAAGAAATCAATATTGGGAGGCAAATCAGCCCTCAATGTCACATTAAATGCAATAATATGTAGCTAGAGACTTAAGAAGAACCCGATCAGAGAACACTTACTAACCTAATACCACGACATCAAAGGAACATTTAGCTGTTAAGCCGGCTCTATCCCTCACTGTATATTGCACTGTGTGGCTGCCGATCAAAAACTTCTGTCCTGACTTGAAGTTGCTGCTAACAGTTACTTCGGCCAATGGATCAATGCCAAGTGAGTTATCGCTGTATGCAGGCTCAACCCATGTTATCACTGCGTGATCCTGGTGAAGACTGTTGTTGGTTGTTATGTCCTCGGGACAAGTTATCACCGGTGGTTCACTGTCTACCGGAAAAGAGAAAAGACTTTTAAGGTAATGCAAGGTTCAAGAAACATGGCTTAATTTAATGCTTTAGAATGTTATCCAGGTGTGAAAAAGTCCAATCTCTTAACTCTCTCTTCCCCGCCCCTCTATAGAGCGAAAGGGAGACTAGACTATATGGAAGACAGTTTCTCGTTCATTATCCCCTTGATTGTATCAGAATAACTCACTATCGGCAAGTCACAATATCACATATGCATTCTTTGTTTGTTTCTCTGCTGCTGGTTAGTACTAGCGTAAAATTTGAGTGGATTGTAAAGAATAATGATTGTGTCAGGCCAAAATGGGCCCCATGGCATTTTAATCGTTATGCCTTGTTGAATACTCTTTACTAATCCCACCTCATGAGAAGTTGCATCTTTGCAGTTACATCTAAATTTGTGTTAGTTAACTTACCTACACAAGGCTTGTGCTCTCCAGTCCAGGTACCGTCTGTCTGACAGAACCTCAAAGTAGACCTGTCTTGTGTGCCCTCAAAAAAGTAGCCTTGTGGACACTTGAATACACAGTGTGAGTCAAATTTCAACTCTGTGGTCACACATTCAGGAGGAGTCACCTGGCTCAGAGAGATCGAATTAAGCTTCGGACATTTTACCGCTGCCAGGAAAAAAATGATAAAGAATTAAATACTAGCAATTTTATAAGGAGGTTAACAAATAAATAAAATGATAAATATATAAACAAAAAGCTAAGCAACGATGTCATCAGTTAAATTTTTCAGATCTAATTGCAGAAAATAGCTTTCTCTTATGAGTATAGTGTAATGCTTAGCACTGCACGTCCAAGCGAAGAGAAAAAAAGATGCGCTCTTTTGAAATTTGAATCCCGTTGCGGTTTGATTGACAGCAGCTGAAATCTGCAATGAGATTCGAATATTCCCAAAGCTAAATCTGTTGACCAATCACAGCCGACTAGTTCTGGGCATTCAAATTATCATGCCGCGTGTTGATAACTTGGGCACTGTAACTACATGTCCCATTCTGGGCGATGCTCCGCTCCTCTTTCTTTAGTAATCTAATACAAGTCACTTCCCGTCATTTTACAGCCTAGTAATAAACAATTATTGGATGAGGTTTTTGTGATAACCAGAATAATCAAGGTCGAGGTAGGGGACCGAGACCTTGATTATTCTGGGTATCACAAAAACCGAATCTAATAATTGTTTTATGACACATTGAACGAAAAAAAAATGGAAGTCATGTTTTTGCTTCTTTACTAACGGCAAGCAACACAAAGCACGCGAACTTGACATGATTACCCTTGGAAATCATGCACCGCGGTCATACATGACATGATTACCCGTGACCTTGAGTGTCCTTGACATGATTATTGTATAATTTGCAGCTAGATGACGTCACAGGCGCTGATTTCGAAAATTCATTGTACGCTTCCGGCCGATCAGAAAAGAGATAGTGAGTTCAGTGTATGATAATAGCTGATATCTGTATATTAGGAGCGAAATGGCGTGGTTGTAATCTTTATCGAAGTTTAGAAAACACCCTATAAGAAAGGCAGCGCTAAATGCCGTACTTCTATAACTCGTTAAAGACAGAGCTAGCACGAGAAGTTGACAAAATGAAAGCAAAAGCAAGGGAATTTACATTTTGATAATCGAATTAAAGGGGTGATTTCCCCTTTTTTTTCGCAGTATTTTCTGAAAGAAATAGAAATCATGTTCTCTGTGTTTCTATCTAGTAATGGAATCACTCGTGCATGTTTGGGAAACCTCGAAAAAGCTGCGGAACGCTCGCCTGTGGTTCGTCGTCCCACAACGTTTCTCGTTGTCCCAAATTTCCTTTTGTGTCTCTACAACTCGATAAAGGCAGGGGAAAAGGTTGCCCTCTTCTTAAAGAAAGAAAATGTGTATATTTTTTAGATCAGTAAGTTGAGTTATCTTTAGTAAAAACCATTCATGTAGTCATGGTGTTACTTATGAATGAATGATGTAAGATGTCACTGGTGACTTACGTTCACAAGTGTTCTCAGATCCTGACCAAGTCTTATCTTGTTGACACTGCCGCACAGGATTGCCTTGTAAAATATGACCACGGTCACATTTGAATGTGCACGTGGTACCATATGATAAGTCATTCTTTGAACACGTGCCACTTGGAGGATTTGCGTTCGTAACTTGAATCACTTGACACACAATTTCTGTGACAGACATAAGAATTAAGCAAAAGGTTAACTGAATTAATAAATAGTTTTGCTAAATAATGACGATGACGCCATTTTGACAAAATAAACGCACATTTTAACTAAAGCTAACGGAGCAGCAGGTGTAATGTGGATATTGGAGTGTTTCAATTTATGGTCAAAATGTCCATATTTTGCCAGGTTGGTTAGTGCCTTTTCAACTTACGATTACACTGTGGATCACTTCCGCTCCACTTAATTGTACCCAGTGAAGTGATTCCGCAAGTCCTTTTTCCATTCCCACTCAGTTCGTATCCTGTTTTACAAATCAATTCACAAGTGGACTGGTACTCTTGGTTGCACTGACCGCCCTTGATCATACCGTTCGGGGGAACTGGAAACTGGTCACACGTTCTTACTGTGAAGAGGAACCAAACACAAGATCCAACATTGTGACTATTTACAAAGAAAAAGAGTTAGTTTAAAGGAAAATTGGAGTTTCCAAGCGAAATACAACGCTTCTAAAGTAGTTAGTTTATATTGTAGGAAGCTCATAAATTCATCATTTTCTTATTCTAAGTTACTTAATTCAATTTGAATGAATAGAACCTTCCAGAATAAGCTGCCAAATCGTTGTTGCGTCAAACGCTAAAGAAACTGAAGAAATGATAGCAAAAGTTAAACATTGCGTTCGAGCATTCGAATATTTATAACTGCTAAGTCAGACAAAATTTTTACATCGGTTACAATCCCAGCCATCTTGAACGAATATTTACCCAAATGTCCAAAAAGTAGCAAAAGTTAAAACAAATGTTCGCTTACACGAAGATATGAATAAGTAGTCAATGTTGCGTTAAGAGTTTGCTGTTAGCTGCTATTATTACGTGATACAAAAAATGTATATATGGTCAAGGAGATTTTTTCATTTCTTAGCAATGGCGTAATTATTCTTAAAAGCAAGAGTGAGTACATGGATTAGTCAGTGAGATCACAGTACATTATGGTTACACTTACTTTTACATTCCACATATCCAGCTGGATTGCCTTCATATCCTTCAATGCAGTGACAGTGCGCTCGGCTGCTGCTACCAATTCTACTATGACGTGAGTTGGCGGGGCACGCAATACAGGACTTAGCGAAGCCAGTGAAGTCTTTGTAGGTAGAATACGGGCACTCTACAAAAAAAAGTAATCGAACAGAGAAATAGACGAGGTATTGGTGTGGAAGCCAGCGGTAAATTCAGTAAACGGAGGTTTGGCACTCGCGCGTACTCATTAAACATCTCTCGCCTTTCTCCAGACAGGTGACTATCTATTTATAGAATATACGGTATGGAGGGGGGAGGGGGTAATAGACATGTTCACCGAATAAAATGATAAACATGTTGGCAAAAATGATACACTAAATGTTCTCGTTTTTGGATTTAATTTTTCAACTCTAATAACGACTTTGACCACGATCGAAGTAGGGGAAAGTACCCTTTTTAGGTCATACTGCGACAAAAAGTACATTGCTATCTAAAAAGAGATAACCAATAGAACCTTACTGTCGTTCCATTTTTCTTGTAGTCAGTCTCAACAAATGTTCAGTTTAAGAAGGTCGACAAGAACGTTACATCAAAGTGACAGTTTTAGATATAAGTTAAGGTATATTTGATTGGTGCAGCAAATACCACTGACGAGTTTCTCTTCTAAAACATCTAGCATGGAGATTTTTTGCCTCATAATTGTCTTCCCTTATATGGGTTATATAGGTATGTGTGGCCCCAATGGGTATGGTTTTTCAACCGTTTTGGTCATAAATAGGGTATCGATTTCGGCCATTTCGGTCTTAAATAGGGTATGGTTTTTGTACCCTAGTCTTGAATTGGGTATGTTGTTTGGAAGAAGCTACTTTTTCATCATTATCGATGAGACCATAAACAAAAGCCCTTCGAAAATTATGTTTGGAGCAACTGTGTCAGCCGCAACGGTCATAAGTAGGTTATCGAATAATATGGTAAGGGGGTTTTGGAAGCGGGCCTCACACCCCCACCAAATTTTTCTGGGAGTATCCCCCCGGTACCAAGTAAAAATAAAATGATGATAATAATAATAATAATAATAATAATAATAATAATAATAATAATAATAATAAAAGAGGTAAAAAACGTTCTCTGGTAAAATTGTTTAAAATTGTGAGCTTTCAACAGCCTGTCTGCTGTCTTCGACGGACAAAAATGAAATGATAAAATAGACCTAAGAATTTTGTCTATAACAAGCGAAAGGCTTATATTAAATAGAATACGTGTGAAAGAATGTGAGAATGCTAAAAGTGTAAAATTAGCGTTTGTTTAAAAGAATGCTATATTGTCCCGGCAGAGGGCACGAATTGTTGTCGGCCTCGACAGTTTTCGCTGTGTGCCAGGATTCCGGCGTCTTTCTAATGCGGCTATTGCCTTTGTCAATTATCTCAGCATTTAAAGAAACAAGAAAAGATCGATGAATCCACCTACTTCAAGTTGAGATCTNCGTGGGCATTACGGGAGAATAATGCCCTACAATTCAGTGACAATTAACCAATCAGAGCGCGCGTTATATCGCCTACAAACACAAGCCATATAATAATAAATAATAATAATAATAGTAATAGTAATAGTAATAATAGTAATAATAATCATAATAATAATAATAATAATAATAATAATAATAATAATAATAATAGTAATAATCATAATCATAATCATAATCATAATCATAATAATAATAATTATGCTATAATATAATAATAAGGAAATATAATATAGTAATAAGGAAAAATAATGACTATTTTGTGGCCGGGTTTGCGATGACGAACTTACCATGACAGTCGTTAGTGTATCCGCTTCCATAATAACCTTGGTAGCAGGAGCACTTATATTCGCCACTTAGAAGACCGCATGCGCAATCTGCTAAATTGTCACATGAACCACATAGACTTCTTGTCTGACCAAGTTCCCAGTCCCTTTCATACGGATCTTTGTAGAGATAAGTACAGTGGCAACGGTATTATAACCAGATAATGAAAAACATAAAATAAGTCAAGCCGTGACATTATATTGCTACCACTTATAACTGCAAATTAAAGAATCTGAATGGTATCGGATATCTTAATATTAAGATATGAAGTCTAATAAGAAACTAAATAAGCCTAAAATCACAAATAGTTAAAGAGTGTTAGCCGAGGACAAGAAAGAGTTTGATAAATCAAAGAAGAGCAATAGAACGTGTGACTGAAGAAGCTTGATGAGCGAAACATATCTTACGATCAGATTGCCGTATTTTTAATGTTTTCACCGACGTTTTACGGTGTGTCGATGGAGTAAATAGGACGTAATGTTTTAGTAGTATTCTTATTTGAGAAACGGAGTTTTCGTAACTAGAATCCTTCCTATATAATCTACTTGTTATTAATTCAGTTATTTAAACACGATGTTTAGCGATTCATACTTAGTGACTTACCTCCTCGCAGATAATTCGCTAACTCTCTAAACTGAGTAAAGGAGCTGTAATGAAACGCGTGGCTGTTGTCTGTGGCAAGCTGCCGCATTACGTTCATGTTGACACCATTCGTCACTCCAATTGAGAAGATCTCAATGTTGCCATCTTTCAGCTTTTTCGCAACCGGATAAGGATCTCCACCTCGGTTCCACATTCCGTCCGTGAGAACAAAAACGGCTGTTTTGGCCAACTGGTTTGGCCTTTTCTGGGCACTCAACGTGCCGAAGATAATATCATAAGCGTACTGGAATGCATCATGCATATTGGTAAGTCCCGAGCGAAACTTCAAAGCCTGAAAGCTCTTCTTAAAGTTACACTTGTGATTGTTCGCTTTCAAATTGCTGACGTAGTTGATATCAAGCGTAGCGTCAGTGCCAAATAAAGCTACGGAGACTCGAGTTGACGGTAAACTGATCCGAATATGGCTTAATAAAGAATTAACGAAAACCTTTTCATCGTCAAAGCCAATTTTTGACGACTTGCTCGCGTAGTCATAGTACCATAAGCTTCCAGAAGTATCCAACAGGAAAATAAGATCTGATATTGAATCGTTGTGGGATCTCTGGAAATTCTCCAGCTCTAGTTTACCCTGAATGTCCGCCGGGATAACTTCTGGAAATAAGAAAGCCAAGAGGAATAACACAACGGAAAAAACTCTTACGGAGCGCATGTTGAGACGCGTTTACCCATAAGAGTCGTTGATCCTGATTATCAAAAATAATTATGGCGTTTTGTGCTTGAGCTGCCAGATGGAGATTTCTCACGCTCATAACAGGTGGGTAAACAGTTGAAATGCTTATAGCTGTTCTTAGCAAACTGAGCTCAGCAGTAATAATGTTTAAATCGTAAATATGGTCGAGAAGTAATATCAGCTGTATTATTAACATCACGCTGATAGCGATTTGAGTGTTTTTTAACAGGAGAATACCTTGTAAAACATGAGCTAAAGATCTGAGATGTTTTTCAGCCATTATTGAACTGTAACTAAATTAAAAGTGAATGTATGAGAATTTTTTTCTCTGTTTGTTTATTTATTTATTTAAGTTACCCCCAATCGCCAACTCATTCAGAGCTCTGTAAATACTATCTGTTTGTCTTCGGAGGGCAATTTTCGTTGGCAAAAGGAAGGAAAAAAAATGTCAAAAAATTACAAATTAAAAACATCCTAAATCAGGTATTGAAGCTACCAAACAGTTATTTCTTTTTCCAGAAGGCAAAAATTAAATTTGATATTGATTTTTTACCTTCTTCAAAAAAAAAGAAATTGTATTTACCCTTATGGCGGCGTGATCGTTAGATAGTTTGCCGCGGATTTCAATGTTTACAAGAAAGATTGTATTTTTAGATCATAAGGGTGACGCTACTGGCAGGATATTGTTGATGTAAGAACTCATAGAAAACCGCGCAAATGAATTAGGAGAAAAGTATCATCAAGGACACACAAATGTTTTCACCGTATGTGTTTTTTAACGCCTGATAAAACACAAGGCGCGATGGGTGTTCCAATAGAGAAAATTAGCTTGAGCGTGAGCACGGAGAGAACGAAGTAACAAAAACAGCAAACGATGAGTTCACATTGTTCTTCAGTTAGTGTGCCCTTCCATCTTACAATATTTTTTTCTCTACAGCAAAGCTCGTGAACAAACCCCTTAGCGGCATTAGTTATAAAGAGCAAGGAGTATCGGCGTGCAGCCCGAGCTGAACGCGGCCTGGGGAGGAATATCTAGTGTCCAATTGTACGTTTCCTTCTTTTGTGTCCTACTGACGTCACTCAACCAATGAAATCGAGGGTGATTACAGATTATATAATAACCCAAATTATTCTCGCATTTTGATTGGTTCTCGCCTATGATCTATTAAAACGTGTCGGTACAAAACGTGGACCTCTCAATCTGGACCCCCTGCTGGTCCTGGTCCTAAATATAATGACTGCGGCCGCACTATGAAAGTTAACCGGGTTATTTCTAATTAATCAATTACGATTAACCGGGTTACCGTAAAGTCGTGGCCGCTATTTTTTGGCAGTTCATTGAACTTAAACCGGGTTACCAGGAGTTACGGTTACCATGGAAATTAATTGAAAAACAATAGAATTTTAAACCGACTTAGGTTAATTTTAAACTACCTTTCTGCGTGGTGTAACCCAGGTTAGTGGTCTCTTATCAGTGCCGTGCATTGGCTTTTTCGTGAAATGTGTCAGTCATCACGGTCTGTATGTGAGATGTTGTTCACTGTGGCACAAACAAGTGCACAATCTTGTACCGAACATGGCGAGTGGTAACAACAGTTTGAAACAGTTGTATTACTAGAGCGGATTTCTAGTTTTTTCCTAAGTGTCGGCTATACCATATCAGTCAAGTTTGCAAGGAACCTTCACACTTAAACCATGGCCTGAACAGGAAGTGCATTTTCCAAACAGAACAGCTGTGGACCGAGAGCGTTTCACAGTTTCTAGATGCCATAATTCACGCTTCTCTATCGATAAAGATGCTCCGAAGCGAGTGTTTCTTTTTGTCATAAATGAAAGAATATGCAAAGTTCTCGATGTTCATTCGGAGGTGCTCTCTATAAAAGCCCGGGTATAAATGTCATGCATGGTAGGATTCCAGTCAAATTCGAGGACCATTCATTCGACGCCATTCATTCTGACGTCCACACAAAATCAACACCTTGTTCGAAAGAACTGCCTTGGAAATTCGTGTATAGTGCGCATGAGAAGGAAGAGAGACTGGCTTAGCCGTGAATGTAAAGAAATTGAAGGACACGAAAAGAAAGAAAAATAATCAAGAAAATGAAAGACTGTAGTTCTCAAAGTCTGTCGTTTTGTTGGTTTATCCACGTCACGACTTGAATTGAGTTCATCCACTTCATAACCTATTTCAATGCGGCCACTCATAAAATATAACCCCGTTGTTTCGTCATAACCAACCTTTCACCGAGTTAAGTTATTTAGGAATTTTAACCAGGTTTCTAAAAAATAAACTCAGTTAACTACGGCTGCAGCCATAATAGGGAGTTTACGAAACCACGGCGGCAACGGCAACGGCAACGGGAACGTCACTGAACAAAAGAATTAATGAGCAGAACAATGGCTGTGCACGTGCTTTATAATTCTTGGTACATTTCTTTGCCGTTCTCTGCAATACATCAACGTGAAATGACCAAATTTTGGGTTGTCTAGAGAACGTGAACCACGACGGCTAATTTTTTAAATTTTTATTTCAAATTTATCGCTGTGTTCCGGATTTAGTCTTGCGGTAGTTTTGACAGTGATAAACAAAGCGAATGACTTTAGAGTATCACGAGATTGGTAGGTAAAATATAAATTCATTTTTTAATCGACGTTGTCCTCAACGTCGCCGTCGTGTTTTCGTAAACTCCCTAATATCATTCACAACGCCGCGTGAATTCATTATGTTTCATATTTTGCCCACTGATTGAATAGAGCCCGTATTTTTGGGAAGAAAAATATAGGGGGTTCAGAAGGGGGTGCAGAAGGGAATCCAGAAGGGGGTCCAGAAGGGGGTTCAGATGGGGTCCAGTAGGGGGTCCAGATTGAGGGGTGCACGTTTTGTACCGACCCGTAAGAAACCACTACTTTGTCTCGAATTTAACAAACCCAATAAACAAAATGTTTTTGAAATTAATCTATTTAAGAAATTCACCTTTTCTCAGTTTCAAAATAATTGTTGACACAGATTGATGTCAGGAATGAAACATCAAACTATCACTTTTTAAAATCAGTTGAAATAAACACATAACCTTGCTTTCCGAAGCAAATATTCCAGTCCGTTTAAGTATAGCTCACTATAGCTCACGGCCAACTATATCGCAGCTATAAGGTGTCTCCGGCACTATATCAAATTGATTTGAGAATCACCAACCACAGAGGACGAAAATTTCCACCGTCACTAGCGCTCCTCTCATTCAAAACTCGAATCGAATGGCCTCCAGTGTTGACCGTAACCGCAAGTTTTCCGAGCGTATTTCTCAACTCCAGCAATATTCAAGGCAACGTCAAAGCTTTTCGGCTCACAGGGGTGCTCTAATGACGAAAACCGACTCGACATTTTCATCATTTTTTTAAAGATTTGTAGATTTCGCAGTTCAATTCGCTTTCGCTGTAAGTTTTCGTTCCACGAGGAAGCGACGCTCGAGTCAAGTTTGATAGTGGCGTGATTTTCCTGGACCGATCACAATTCTTAGCTACGCATAGCAACCAATGAGATTGCTTCATTTTGTATAGACAATAGATTACGTCAAGTTGGTATTTTCGTGTTTGCCAAGCAAAGGCCGGCTTTCGAGTTACGGTGAAAGATTTTGATATAAAAAAGCTTTTTCTGGAGTAGTTTGTTTCTTTATTATATAAAACAAATAGATTCCATGTTGCCGTGCGTAGAACTCTTCGAAAGATTAAGGTGGCTCAAAACAGTTTCCAGCAGTTAGATTTTGATGGGTCATTATAACCACTCTTTATCACTTGATGCTCCAATCATGATATCAAAAAGTGCCCAATCATTGGTGAACACGTTGTTAACATTTTCGTGACACAATAGGCTACCATAGCAACAGTATGACCTGCCTAAAACATCCTTAATTACAGCTTTAGGAGCTTATAATTCAATAACGGCACGGTGAAATTTTTTATATTATCAAATTTTAATCAGCATGATAAGGCGCAACTTTTGGCAAAGTCTTTTAAAAAAACTGTACAGAGGGTTCAGAGCAACCTTAAAGTTTTCAAAATTGGAAAATGCGAAAAATGGAACACGAAAGAACAATGGAGAAGCTCGGCGTGGGAAGGCGAGAGAATGCCTGTTGCCAAACTTAATTAACAAAAGACCAACTACAGGGGCCTGTAACAGGACCGCCGATTTTAGGGGGCTCGTCGTTTTCAGAGTGAAAGACATGACCCTTGCGACTCCTACGGTTCGGGACATTTGTTCGTCAACTGAAGCCAACTGGAAGCGAAAAACCTAGCCAGGAAAAAGCTAGCCTCTTCTCTGCCTATTTTTCGCACTATACCCTAACTACCTGAAATGCCTGGAAGAGACTAGGAATAAACCTCTTCTCCGTGGTATACAATATAGGTACACGGCGTCACCCTCACTCAAGCTGAATATCTACAGCATAGGAAAGACGACACGATCAAGCCTATCTTTTTCAAGCGACATTGTCCCAGAGATCGTCTTCGTGCTTGGTTGAAATTTCTAATAGGCAACCACGACGTCGACATCGTGGCTACTGGCTGGGTACTAGCCTCAGAAGACCCCTTGTTTGTAAGAGCAAACCACCGAAAAAAAAAGCAAAACTATCTTTCGTGGGCTTAATTCAATGCGAAACAGACATTTTCTGTCTTTCTATCGTGTTTTAGTATAAATTTACTAGGGTTCTATCACGAATCCGTTCTCTGATTGGTTACGCTACTCAGTTTCTATTCTATTGTAGATAGTGGGAAGCGTAGCAGTGTGCGCTTGTTAATAAACTGGCGGCCGCTTCATTGCGTTTTTAAAGTGTCTGTGAAGAGGATTTAGATAAAGTTTTGAACGGCTAATAGCGTTATATTAAAAAAATTACATTATTCGCCTGAGATTTCTATGCGTGATAGTTGACTCGGGCTGGGCCTTCGTCAACTATCGCGCGATAGAAATCTCAAGCTCATAATCTAATTGTTTAATAGAAACCCGAGTGAAAGTTTGGGAGAACTCTAAGTACAATATCATCTCAGTGACTTGAACGTGTTGAATCGCCGGGGCACAGCCTATGTTCTTTGCTAATCTAGAGCAGTTTTAACTAACATTTTGAGGGAAAATATTCCATTACTACATAGCAACAATTCAATTTCTGACTGTGATCTGAAAAACCGATAAGCTGTAAAGCGAAATAGAAGGCCTAAACTTCCTTCAACATTCAGTGACGTATTCACAACTGAGATTTTTTGACGCACATGATTTATTTCGCCGCTAGTAAACAGCATTACCTTCAAACACTTGAATAAAGTTACCGCCAAATCAAGAAAATCCGTGTTGCCTGGAGACCTGGGAAAACATTTAACTGTCGACAGCTGCATTTCGAGTTCGCGGAAATAAATTGCATTCATACTGACAACAAGCAATTTTTAAATTGCTATTTGACAGGCACAAGAGAATTAAAATTCTCTTGTGCCTGTCAAATAGCCTTTTAGTGCTTTTTGCATTAAGTCATATTCAGTTTATTGTAAACAGCTCAGTAGTGCAGTTCTGTGGGCTGAATTTAAACGGAAACGATTAAGTCAATAGAGGCCAATC